TTGCCAAATAAAAAAATCCTGCTGTGAGCAACCACAATCTGACACAAATTTTAAAAAATGTTGGTATTAAATATTCCTTGATTTATTTAATAGTTGAAACGTGGTGCAATTTGATTTGTGAAAAAGCGTTGCTCACAAATCAAAGCATTTTTAATCAGGGTTTATCCACCAGCTGTGAGTAACCTGATTTTTAAATGAGTAAATATGACATTTTAATTTTTAAAAAAAGAACTATTTGTTAGATACTTTGGGGTTCAGTAGTCAGTTTCTTAGATTTAAAAAGAATATTTTATAAAGTTTTTTAAAATGTGCAATTAGTATTCTGCACTCAGAAGAACGAGTTTAATTGTTATGGCCACCTTGAAATCTCACAATCATGCACAATTGACAGAAATTTGCCATGGTGATGACTTAGATCTGGGGTGTGGCCAGCTACATGTGGGTGTGGGTGTTGTTTGAGCTGGTGCATAAATAAAATCACAACAATTCGATTTGCACTCAAAAGTCTGCAACATTTTGGGCATGTTATGTTGATTTCAGATGAAATGTGCTTAATGAAGATAAAAGAAACTTATAAAAAAGCAAAAGAACAAGGCATAAGGCAAACCATAAGAACATTCAGCCAGCACCAGCCTTTTTGCATGTCATGGCAACTGTTACCATTCCAATGATGTTGGAGCGATATAATTAAGCATTGCAAGTTAAACAATTACAGTAGATGAGGACAGAATTGTAGGAACAAGAGGAAGCCATTCAGCCCTTCAAGAGAATTCTGCCATTCAGTGAAATCCTATATTGTAACACTTTTTACTCACCTTGGTCCTATATCTCTTAAGAATTCTGGCCTGCAAAAAATTCTCAATCTCATATTCAAAACTTATTAATTGAGCCAGCATCTACACTTCTACTATCCCTCTCATGAAGGAGGGTTTAACCTCTAATGGTCTTGCTCTGATTTCATTGACAGTACATTCCCCTCGTGTTAAGTCAGGTTTTCAAGTTGGCACACTTGGAAGCTAATGTTCTGAGATATATCAAATCTACAACAGATTCCACACTATTTTTGTTAAGCTCTTTTGAGGTATTTTCCCGTGATTTCTAATTGCTATAAAATATAAGGTAAAAAAAAATGTTTCCTTTAAGGAAACGGAAGAATCTGACAATTTGAGAAATGGAAGTTGAGTCATTGGCTTCCAAATTCAGTCTACAAAGTATTGATCTGTTTCCACCAAGTGCCAATGGCTCCTGTAAACCAACAACAGCAACATGTTTGAAGTGAATCTGATCAAACATGAACAAGAATATAAATCTGTTTAATTTTATAATTATTAAGATGGTGCATTGATTTGAGTTTTTCTCTGAAAATAATGTGAGATACGTTTTCGTTCCTATTTCAAAGGGACTTTTGTTGATCAATGGGACAGAATAAAAATATTAGATGGATGTATGCTGGTAAGAACCATGCACTTCCAAATCCTTTTACATTGTTTCTCCCCGTCTTTTGTCTCAAATGAAACCCTCAGTCTCTGGCCAGGCTCCATTCCCACAACCTTTAACCCTGCCTTGCTATTAACCTGGTGAGTGATCCAAAAGTGACCATTCAGCCCATCAAACCTGTTCCATTGTTTAGTTAGATCATACCATTCTATATCTTAACTTCATCTACCTGCCTTGATTCCACAATCCTTTCTCAACTAAAATCTATCAATCCTAGTTGATCACCGATCTTTAGTAGCTTTTTGCAGGAAAGAGTTCCAATACCTTCTGAGAGAAACATAACTTTGTGCCATTAAGGTTGAAAGGCCCAGCTCTAATCATTACGTTCCATGTTCTGGACTCTCCTTACCAGGGGAAATATTTTCCCACTAACCATCCTATCAAGTTTTTTAATCAACTTAAGTATCCCATTTAGATCATCCCTTTGTCTTTAATACTAAGGTGTAAACCTGGATTCACAATTTCATATTGTTTAGCCCTGTTATCAATCAGGGTAATATGGGTTACCTTCTAAGGCAAGAATCCCCTGAGTTCAGAACTGAATGCAGCACTCCACATTACAATTCCTTATTTTTTTAAAGTTTATTCAATGGATGAAGGTGTCACTGGCTAGGCAGCATTTATTGCCCATCCATTTTTGCTCAGAGGGCAGTTAAGAGTCAACCACATTGCTGTGGGTCTGGAATCACATGTACTCCAGACCAGGTAAGGATGACAGATTTCCTTCCCGAAAGGACATTAGTGAACCAGATGGGTCTTTTCCTGACAATCGACAGTGGACTAATGGTCATCATTAGACTCTTCAATTCCAGATTTTTATTGAAATCAAATTCCACCATTTGCCATGGTGGGATTCGAACCTGGGTCTCCAGAACATTACCTGAGTTTCTGGATTAACAGTCCAGTGAAAATACCATGTCTGCCCTGCAAGATTGCTATTCCATCCACCTTTTGAATTGTTATCCTACCTGCCCATCAGCCTTTATTCATTTTGTAATTAGACTCCCAACTCTCTCTGCACCTTCAATTTCCAGCTTCTCAACAGTTACGGGACATTCTGACATTTCTTTCTTAGATCCAAAGTCACTCTTCATTTCAGGCTTTTTCAGTAGAGACATGGTGTATATGGTCATGGATCTGAAAGGGTTAATGCTGGGGACTGCATTAAGCTCCATCCAATCTGATTGATATCATACAGGTTCTGGTAGAGATGAGGCAGGCCATTTTTGAGATAGAAAAAAAAAAACACCCCCACCTGTCCAACTGAGCCTGGGGACACCATGTGAGTGTAAACAATCACAGATCCTCACGCAGGGCATGCCCTGAGCAGAGGGGACCCTAGACCAACCCACAGCAGAAACCCACAACAAAGCTGAGCCTTGGCCAAGTGGCTAAACAGTTCTTCCAGATCTGGGCTGGTGGGTCATTGTAATTGCTGCTGGTATGCAGACTAGACACAGGAAAGGAGTCCTACAAGGCCTGACTTGAGTAGGAAATCTCATTGGCTGGTACCCAGGAGAGTGCACACCCTGGAAAGTTCCCCTACATGCGGGTTGGAACAATTACATTGCTTAGTGACACCCAGATTGGAGCCAATTAAAATTAGTATTTGGTTAAATGGAGGTCGATACTGGCACAGCTATATCTGTGTGTGCAGAATATGTCTTTAACAAGGTTCACTCGGGACTCCAACCTTTAAGCTTGCGCAAGGCCTCAGCAGACTGAGAACATACACTGGGGAGCCGTTGCAAATTAAGAATACGACTTCAGTTGGTGCAGTTACCACTGATGGTAGTAAAAGGCTCAGGCCCAAGCCTATTGGGGCAGAATTGGTTGAGAAAGATTTACCTGGATTGGCTCAACATTTTTCGATTGGGAAATGGCTGCCTTACTGAAGTCCTAGTGAAACACCCAGGAGTTTTTCAGGAAGGGCTAGGGACTATCAAAGGGGCCAAAGCCAACTTATATGTTGACCAGGAAGCAATTCCGAGAATTTGCAAGGCTCACCCGGTGCCAAATGCCTTGTGGGCAAAAGTAGAAGCAAAGTCAGAAGGCTGGAGAGGGAAGGAATCATCAAAGTTTGCAGAATGGGTAGTACCGGTCACACTGATAAAGAAGCCTGATAGCTCAGTCCACTCTTGTGGGGATTTTAAGCAAACAGTAAACTGCTTCTCGCAGCTGGATAAATACCCGATCCCTCACATAGAGGAGTTTTACACAAAGTTGGCCTGGCAGGGGGTGGTGGGGGGTTGGCAGTGGTGGATGGTGGCTGTCCTTCATAAATCCCAGAAGTGCGCTACAATTAATGCCTTTAAGGGTTTATGCCAATATACAAAACTGCCATTTGGGGTATCATCAGCCTGCACTCTTTTCCAGTGGGCCATGGAGAACATTTTACAAGGGCTACTCCAGGCTGTCATTTGCCTGGATGACGTGCTAATAACAGGGAAGACCAATAAAGAACACTTGGAGAACTTGGACATAGTGCTTATAGGTTTCTCCCAAGTGGGCGTACACCTTAGATGGGAAAAGTGTGTTTCCCAGACACCCCAAGTGACCTACTTGGGTTACAGAGTCAACAAAACTGGGTTACACCCGTTTGAGGAGAAAGCGAGGGCGATTACAGGAGACCCAGCTCCCACGGCTTAGGTATTTCCTTGGGTTAGTGAATTATTACAGAAAATTCATACATGACCTGGCCACCATCTTGGCACCCTTACACCTGAATTGAAAAAGGGTCAGCCTTGGAAATGGCCGCTTGGCCAAGAAACAGTCTTTAGGAAAGTGAAAAAGCAGCTATCGTCATCTAAAGTGTTGGCCCACTGCGATCCGAAGCGAGAGATCGTGCTGAGATGTGATGCCTCCCTGTATGGTATCAGGGTAGTGTTGGTTCACTGGTGGCCCAATGGAGAGGAACGCCCAATAGCGTATTCTTCCCAGACTTTGGCTGATGCCGAACGCAGGAATGCCCAGATGGAGAAGGACTGTTTGGCAATCATCTTTGGTGAGAGGAAGTTCCACCAGTACCTTTACAGACAGGAATTTGTCATAGTAACAGATCACAAACCCCTGCTAGGGCTACTGAAGGCAGTGCTGCCCATAGTTTCCGGTAGAATTCAGCATTGGGCCCTTATTCTCTGCATGTATGAGTTAGAACACCAGGAAGCCTAATGGCTAATGTGGATGCCTTGAACCATCTCCCACTGGCAGATACTCCACCAGTGGTGCCTCCCCTGGAAGAGACTGTGTTGGTTTTAAACTTCTCAGACACCCTTCCAGCCACAGCTGACAATATCTGACTGTGGACACAAAAAGATCCTGTCTTAGCGAACCTGAAACAGCTGGTGGTACTGGGGGAAACAGAAGGGCCATCGCACACAGGACTGAAACCTTTGTGGACCCGGTGAGACCAGATCACTGTAGAGGACGGCATATTATTGCGGGGAGCAAGGGTGATTGTCCCGAGTGAGGGTCATGGCCAGATACTGGCCAAACTCTACCAGGGTCATCCAGGGTCTTCCAGGATGAAGGTGCTGGTAAGCAGCTATGTTTGACGGCCAGGGTTGGATGTGTTGGTGGGACAGTGCCCAAAGTGCCAACGAGGACAAAAATTACCACCAGTAACTCCCCCACATTCGTGGGAATGGCCGGGTAAACCTGGACTCAGTTACATATTGACTAGGCCAGTCCATTCATGGGCTCAATGTTCCTGGTCATTGTGGATGCCCAATCAAAGTGGGGGGACGTGCATAAAGTTTGTTCAGCAAACTCAGGGATGACAATTGAGAAGCTGTGGGCATCGTTCGCGGTACACAGACTCCTGGAAGTATTGATCACGGACAATGGGACATCATTTAACAGCAAGGATTTCAAATATTTCCTAAAATCCATTGGCATTTGGCACACAAGGACAGCTCCATACCATCCATCATCCAATGGCCTAGCGGAAAGAGTGGTCCACATGTTGAGGGCAGGCTTAAAGAAGCAGCCTACAGCATCAATTGATACCAATCTGTCCTGGTTCCTGTTTGATTAAAGGACCATCCCCCACGCAACAATAGGGATAGCTCCAGCAGAGTTGCTGATGGGGAGAAGACTCCCCACCAGGTTAAACCTGATATTTCCAGACCTGGGATGGGGGGAGGATGAAACAGCAGCAGGAATTTCAATGCCGGCAAATGCCTCTGCTAAGAGAGACACTTTAATTCAGGAGATGAATCCTCATTTTCATGGAAATGGCCCTGTATGGGTACAAAGTGAGGTTGACACGAGGTCAGGTCCAGTGACTTAAAAGTTCAGGTAGGTGGTGTAGTCCTGAACACACACGTGAATCACCCGAAGGCTGTTACCTCACAAACGGGGCAGTAGAAAAACATAAAAACCGAAAGAATTGCGGATGCTGTAAATCAGGAACAAAAACAAAGTTGCTGAAAAGCTCAGCAGGACTGGCAGCATCTGTGAAGGATAAAACAGAGTTAGCATTTCGGGACCGGTGACCCTTCCTCAGAAAAGGAGGAGAAAAACGTACTTGGCCCGTCAGGACAGCTAGAAGGCCTGGCAGAAAGCACAGGTGCTCCCCCTCCATCTAGTGTGGAGGAAACTTCAGAATCTGAAATGGATGCCACCTCAATACCATTGCTGCCAGAAAAAGAGGAGGAGACTCTTCCAAGATGTTCTGGACCCACAAGATGGTGGTCCGGTACACATCACCCATGTTCGAGTCCAAAGAACCGGACCTGGGGCAAAAGTGTTGCAAGAAAAACTACAAGCGAAAAACTAGGCCTTCATCCCTGGACCTAGGAGGGGGGAGGGATGTAATGATTGGAACCAGTTGGACCTTGTTAACTATGAGGTTCTTTATTGGGACTGTTAACCTGGGCCAATCAGGAAAGTCCTGGCTGACCAAGATAAAGAAAGGATTTAGAATCTCCTCAGTTCAGGGGACTGACTTTGATCTGGATGGCCACAGCCAGTGTACTTTGCACAAGTGAATAAGGGGTGACTTGGTGATGGGACCCACCGTCTGTGCAGTTATTTCAGAATGTAACTTGTACCCAATTGCCATCATGCAATAAACTACATCTTATTATATAGACCTTCATCTTGTTAAGAATCACTTGTAGTTGATCTTCTATTACTGGAAACCAATTAGACACTCAGATCCAGTCAAATAGCACACGATGCTTCTCACTGTCTTTGTCAATTGTACACCCAGGCAGGACTAAAATGCATAGCGTCTTTGCACGCTCAAATGTGAAACAAACAAAAACAGCAGAGTGTTCGATAAACTCAACAGGTCTGGCAGCATCTGTGGAGAGAGAAACAGAGTCAACGTTTTGAGTCTGATACATTTCTTCAGAAACAATTTCATTTTGTTCATTTTGCCATATATATATTGTAGTTGCATCACTAGAATAGGAAAATATCTTATAGAACAGAGGCAATAATTAAGAAAGGGAGGCAATGACCTAGTGATATTATCATTGAACCATTAATCCAGAGACCCAGGTAATGTTCTGGGGACCTGGGTTCAAATTCTGCCATGGCAGATGGTGGCGTTTGAATTCGATCAATATCTGGAATTAAGAGTCTAATGATGACTATGCTGATTATCAGAGAAACACATCTGGTTCACTAATGTCCTTTAGGGGAGGAAACTGCCATCCTTACCTGCTCTGGCCTACATGCAACTCCAGACCCACAGCAATGTGGTTGATTCCTGACTGCCTTCTGGGCAATTAGGGATGGGCAATAAATGCTGCCTAGCCAGCAACACCCACATCCTGTGAATGTATAAAAATAATTAAAAGCAGCACTTGTCCTGTCAAACCTGCCCCTCCAACTCAATAACATCATGGCTAACTTTCTGACTGCTCACCCACTCGCTCACTCCACATATCCCTTGATACAGAGACAAACCAGAAATGAATCACTCAGTCTTGAATTCACTGATGATCCACAACAACCCTCTGGGTTTGGGAATTCTAAAGATTCACCCCTCTCTGAGTGAAGAAATTTCTCCTCATCTTAGTCCTAAATAATCAGTCCCCTACATTGAGACTGTGGCCCCCATCCACCCTGTGTCTCAAATTCTGCAGCTCGGGGGGAAACTGTCTCAGTGTCGATTCTGTAAAGACCCTCCATAACTCAATTTCACATTCTTCTACATGCCAAAGAATAGACAAAAACTCCATTTCATTGTAAGAACTGGGCTCCCCCACTATTTGCACCTGGATTTTCCACACCATTTTTTATCATCCAAAGCATGGGGAATGCATCAGGTTCTAAGGAATGCATGGCTGATTTGACAGATGGCTGAGAGAATTTACACGGCACATAAACTTACAAGTTCTATTCGAAGCCAGTGTCGGGTGATTGGCAGAATAGGCAGCACTGACAGCTGAAGGCTGGAGTCTGTTTGTGCCAGTGCTGTGCAGTATATAGCTCTGAGCATTCTGTTCAGCAGGCAACCTGTTTAACCCATTCCCACCAAAGAAAAACAGCCTCCCCAGAGCTGCATAAACTCATTGGCAATGCCATAGTTCTCAACTTGTTCCAGATCCCAAGCTGCTTTCTGTTTCTTTGGAGCTGGTGAAATTCAAGTCTTTCTCCAAAGCTAATTTCTAACCCTCCTTGGAGAGCTAGTTCCAATGTTTTGACACCGTGTCTTAACACATTGAGACAACAATTTGCACCACATCCCTGCAAGTCTGGAGTCACATGTAGACCAGACCAGGTAAGGATGGCAGATTTCCTGCCTTAAAGGATATCACTGACCCTGATAGATTTTTCTGTACCAGTCTTGTTTCTTTACAAGAACCTCCACCATGAGTCATTTGAGCATTAGCTCTCATCAGGCACTCTCAACACAGGATTGAGGGAATGCTGCCCCTTGTTGGAGGAGCCACTCTTGAATGAAACAATTAGCCAATGCCCTCTCTACCCTTTCGAGCTGACATAAAAGATTCCATTGGAACTACTTTGAAGAAAGGCCAGGGTCCTAATCAATATTTATACCTCAACCAATATATGCTGATCATTATTTACTTGTTGCACTGTGTGCAAATGGTCTTTCCTACATTGCAACAGTGAGTACACTTCAAAATAACTTCATCGATTATAAAGCACTTTGGGACATCCAAAGAATGTCAGTCAGGAATAAATAGCATTTTAGTATTTTCATTGTGCTAGAGGACCAGAGATCCAGGCAATGTATTGGAATGACATGTTGAGGAACCAGCCAGAGAGAAGGCCATTCTGGATTTAGCATTGCATAATGAGGTGAAATAAGTGAATGATCTCATTGCAAAGGATTCTCTAGAGAAGAGTGATCATAGCATGGTAGAATTTCAAATTCAGTTTGAGGACAAGAAACTGGAGTCCCATATAGTGTTCTGGAGTTAAACAAAGATAATAAAAGAGGCATGAGGGCAGATTTGACCCTAGAAGACAAAAAAGTAGGACAGTTGATGAACAGTGGCAAATGTTTAGGAGATAATCAATTCCTCCCAACTGAAATATATTCCAGAGAGGAGGAAAAATTCTAAGATGTAGAAAAAAGTATCCACGGCTGAGCAAAGGAGTTAGATAAAGATAACAAAGACAAAAATTAAGGCATACCATATGCAAAGACAAGTGGTTGGGCTGAAAGATTTGGAAACTTTTAAAGATCAACAAAGGGTCACCAAAAAGTCTTAGAGCAAGAAAACGATGTAAGAAAACTAGTGGGAAATATAAAAATGGATAGCAAAAGCTTCTATAAGTATGTAAAAGGGAAGAGAGTAGCTAAAATGAATGTTAGTCCCTTGGAGGATGAAATTGGTGAGTTAATAATGGGAACCCAGAAATGGCAAAGATGCTAAATCAATATTTTGCCTTAATTTTTACAGTATCATCCCAATAGTAACAGGTAATGCTGAAGGTATAGAAAAGAAGAATTTGAAACAATCATCATTACTAGGGAAAAAGTACTGAGCAAACCATTGGGATCAAAGGCAGACAAATCCCCAGGGCCTGATGGTCTATATCCTAGGGTCTTATCGGAAGTGGCAGCAGAGATAGCTGATCTATTGGTTATAATATTCCAAAATTCCTTGGATGCGGGAGAAGTTCCACTGGATTGGAAAAATACTCAAGTAATGCCCATACTCAAAAAGAGATAGAGGCAGAAAGTATTAAATTACAACCAGTTAGTTTAACATTTGTCTTTGGGAAATTGTTAGAATCCATTACTAAGGAATTAATAACAGGATATTTGGAAAGTCAGCATGGATTTATGAAGGGTAAAGTGTGTTTCACTAACTTGCTAGAATTCATTGAAGATTTAACAAACAAAATAGATAATGGGGATCTTGTAGGTATAGTACATCTGAACTTCCCAAAGGCTTTTGATAAGATACCGCACAAAAAGCCAATACATAAAATAAGATCACATGGGGTTAGGGGTAATTTATTAGCTTGGATAGAGGATTGTCAAAACAATAGAAAGCAGAGAATTGGGAGAATTGGGTCTTTGTCTAGTTGGCAAGATGTAACTAGTGTTTTACCACAGGATTTCTTCCTCAGATGCCAACTATTTATGATCTATCTTCATGACTTGGATGCAGGGCTAGAAGGTACTATAGCTAAAGTTGCTGATGACTCTATAATGGGCTGGAAAGTAAGCTGCAGTAAAAAAAATATGAAATTTGCATATGGATATGGATAGGTAAATCCATTCAATTTCAGCTTTCAAATAAGCTAGAAATAAACTGGTATCACTTAAAAAGACAATGAGAATTTGTAAATACCCACTTGATTTGTTAATATACCTTTTGGGAAGGAAACTCAGTCTGGCTTTATCTATACTCCAGTTCTACATCAACATGGTTTACATTTATTACGTGAGAGACAAAAAAAACTGCAGATGCTGGAATCCAAGGTAGACAAACAGGAGATTGGAAGAACACAGCAGGCCAGGCAGCAACTGGAGGAAAGGAGCAGTCAACGTTTCGGGTATAACCCTTCTTCCTGCTCCTTTCCTTCAGATGCTGCCTGGCTTGCTGTGTTCTTCCAGCCTCCTGTTTGTCTACATTTATTACCCTCTGAACTGGCCTGTCAAGTTATTTGTTGTATCAAACCACTGTTTAAGTTGGAGATTCCTTGTTACCTACTCAAGGCAAAAGTGCCTTTGATGAGGAAAAATGACTTGCGACTAACAATGAAATTGATTGCTGATGTTCAGAGGCTGCTTCATTTGAATGTTAAATTTGTTTCACCAGATAGGTTAACTTGTCACTCAGTGTTAACCAAAAATCACAACAAGTGGTAAACTGCACACTGAGTTGATGAACTGTAACCAGCCTGTAAATGTGTGTCTCCTAATCAATCTGCTGATAGTTGTCCCATCAGTATGACCCTTGATGGCCATTAATTGATGTTAGACCTGAGTGAGTGTTTTGCAGAAGGAATGGCCTTCTTGTGGTGCAGTAAATGTGTCCATACCCCTGGACCAGGAGACCAGGGTTCAAGTGCCACCTGCTCTAGAAGTGCGTAATAACATCTCTGAACAGGTTGATTAGGGAAAAAAAGGCCACTCATCCCTTCAAGACTGTTTTACTAATAAATGGATTTGTATCTCAACTGTATCTGTTTCTCAATTCCAGCTATCATCCTTGGCTCCAAAACTTTTACACCCAACGCAAATCTATCAGTTCTGAACTCTTGAGTTCTGAAGAAGAGTCATATTGGACTTAAAACATTAACTCTGTTTATCTCTCCAGTGGTGCCAAACCTGTTGAGTCTCTCCAGCATTCTCTATGCTTGTTACAAAGTTAACAATCTCAGTTTTGATATTATCAATTGACTCTCAGCTTTAACAATTTATTTTCTTAAGGAAGACAGTTCCAGCTATTCACTACCATCTGAATGAAGAAATGTTTCTTCAAATCAGCCCTGAAGAGCTAAGTTCTCAATTTAAAGTTATTGTCAATCCTTCTGGACTCTCTTACCAGAGAAACCAATTGCCGCTACCTACCCTGTCAAATCATTCCATCAACTTCAACACTGTATTCGCACCTTGGTCAGATCACACCCGCAGTATTGCCTATGGCGCTGGGCACCACATGATGAAGAAGATAGACGATGATGAAGACCTGTCTGTACTGCATGCAAAATAAAATTTTTCACTGTATCTAGGTACAATCAAATCAAGATATAGAGGTGCTGTAGAGGTTGCATAGAAAATTTACAGGAATGATACCAGAAATGTGTGGGTTTACAGTCAGCAAAGGATTGGCAGGACAGGTCTCCCTGTCTCAAAAATAGGAGTCAAGATGTGGAGGAGCTGTCGTTGGACTGGGGTGGAGAAGGTCAGAAGTCACACAACACCAGGTTATAGTCCAACAGGTTTATTTGAAATCACAAGCATTCGAAGTGCTGCTCCTTTGCCAAGTGAAGTGAGGAAGGAGCAGTGCCCTTGAAACTTGTGACTTCAAATAATCCTGTTGGACTACAACCGGGTGTGGTGTGACTTCTGATCTCGTAAACAGGGGGCTGTGGGGCTGCCTAAAGGAGATCTTTAAAGTCATGGAAGGGTTCCATCCAGTTGACATAAAGAATGTTTCCACTTGTGTGCTGAAGGTTATCAATATTAGATAGCCCACAATAAATGAAATTTGTTCAGCCAGGGAGCTGTGAGAATGTGGAAATCGCCACCAAAGGGAGAGGTTGAAGCGAACCTTTTAAATTTCAGGTGAAACGACTCAAGCATAGGCGGGAGAAGGGAACAGATGGAGGATTTAGATGCGGAAAAATGAGTGGAACCGGAACACCAGCACGGACTCTGTGGGCCGAATGGCCTGCGATGCAGTTCTGTGCTTTATACCCCGGGTGAATCTCAATTATATCACTCCTTTGTTTTCTATTCTTAAGGGATGAAAGGCATTATGCAAAACAAAAATCATCTGCCAGCAAGGACAGACTATTCTCCCGGATAGGGTGGGGATGAAAGTGGGTTAACCATTGCCCATTTCCTGGGAGACTCCCAGAGAGGAGCAACAGCTGCAGAGGTCGCTGCTAACAGAGTGAGCTCCCTACCCCTCTCTCTGTCTCAGTCTGTGTGTGGAATGGTATCTCAACCGACAAGGCACCGACTGAATCCCTGTCCAACAGCAAGGCGGGGAGACTAGATCCCGGTCCGTGTCCCACCGTGTGCGCACACACACACACACACACACAGACCGCCTGTTCCTCAGCACCAGCCCCTTCCCCAGTCTTATAGAGGGCAGCGTGCCGCAGGTAAGCAACCCTTTTCATGGGAACTGAGAGAGAAGGGGGTGGGTGGGTAAAACATTAATTAATAGCCAAGTTCTTTTCATCGCAAATTGAGGATTTCAGCAACAATGAAGTTTGGATTCGATGTAGATTTACCCGAGCGTGACATTCAGCTGCAGTGAGGCTCTGATTGTTCATTTACCGCCTGTGTTTCTGGATAAATGTTTCTGAATGTCACACTGGGTGCTGATGTGGAGTGTCTGGGTGGACGCTTGTATGGGGGGGGGGGGGGGGGGGGGGAGGTCGCTTGCTTATGCGAGGGTCGGATTGTCAAGGATTTAGGAATTTCGACATGGTACTTAGCCGTGATTATTTCAACAGCTTTCCCTCTGTACGAGAATGTCACGTTTCATCTTCCATTTAGTTCAGAGACTCCCATTCCCCACCGACCCCCCCCCCCCACCCCCACCAAAAGGGTGTTGTCTGGAACACCCGGTGTAAACAAGGGCGCTCTCTGGTTTCGGACATATTTACATTGAAATGAAGCAGGAATGTGTGGTGGTCCGGATCACGTTTAGCCCCTGTGTGTGTATATAATTCTGTCTGTCCCCCACTCACCCCTCTTTGTACGTGCCCGGGCACTGGGTGTGAGGGGAAAACCAGGCTCAGCCATTGAAAGCTGGTCAGACCTGGTACCCCTCGCATTGCCCCATCTGGTCTGGAGCAGATTTTCATTGTATTGAGCTTCCGTTTCATTGGAGGTTTTTTTCCACCTCTCTCCCTCGCCCTGATGACAACCTGTTCCTTTTTTCCAGGAGCCTACACCCCTCAGCCCCATTCCTCTCCTCCTTCGAGGATTGTTCTGGCATGTTAATGCGGGATGAATAGTAAAAAGACGAAAGGGTTTTTCTTCTCACTGTTTTGGGAAATATTACACCTCAGGAGGGGAACAATGTCACGTTGCAACCATAATTGTCCTCTCAGTATCACGTGTGTGTTTCGAAGTATTTCTTGCTGTTTCTCAAGTGCTGAGGGGTCTGTGTTTTGGGGAAAGCTGAACATATTTCCGCTGGGGGTTACCTGGTGTCAGTAAGGACCTTTTTACAATGCATTAATTCTAGGCTGGGATTAATGTCCATTCTCACTGTTTAATGCATCTAGCTGAGAGTGCGCAGTGCTGAGAATGAGAGGATTTCCACAGGACACATTGTAAGAATGAGTGAATACATTTCATCAGCACGGCTTTGAAGACCAAATCGTAGTTTTTCAATGGAAAGGCTGGAGCAGTTTCCCCGGGTGCTTTTGAGCAGATGGTGAGATGTAGTGGAACAGGCGAATGGATGCAGGAAATTTTAGTTCCAACCCACTCACATTTAGCCCTCAGTCTACCCCATCCCCCAACATCTCTCCACTCCACTCCATCCACTCCCCTCCTTGGTCAGCCAGTTACTGCCTCTGGGTTCTGCACGTTCCCCTCGATTGACGCCTGAGCCTTAACTACACAGTCGCAAGCTCTCTCCCCTCCCTCCCTCTCCCCATAAACAACAACAAAAAATCTCCACACCCACCCACTAAAACCTATCCTCATGAAACAGTCCCGGGCGCAGCATGAGGTTAAGGTACATTGTAAAGCTCCGTCTACTTTTTTTTATCTACACTGTCTCCATCAAACTCTCACAGGACAGGGACAGCACAGGGTTAGATCGAGAGTAAAGCTCCTTCAATTATTTTAAACTGAAAGTAAAGCTCACTCTACTCATTTAAACTGAGAGTAAAGCTACCTTGACATTGTCTCCATCAAACACTCCCATGACAGAGATAGCAGGATCCAGAGTAAACCTTCCTCTACTCTTTTGAAGTGAATGTGAAACTAACTCTATGCTTTTCCTACCACACGCTCCCAGGACAGGGACAGCATGGAGTTGGATATAAGGACCTTTCATTCTGCCCAACATTTTTAATTCATTTACAGGATGTGGGTGTTGATGGCTAGGTCAGCATTTATTGCCTATCCCTAATTGCCCAGAGGGCAATTTGAGTGTCAGATACCTGCTCAGGAGATGTCCAGGTGTGGACTGAGACATATAGTCCAGGCCAGATGCCAGAAAATATTGATATACACCGAGGATGGTTGATAGCTAGAATGGGTTTACAGATGTGGAAGTTGATGTTAGGACACTGTAAGACTGAGTTTCATGCTATAATAATGGGCAAGTTCATCCTGGAGTTATGGAAATCCATTTCCTTTGTCAGTCAATTCTTGTGTTTTTGACAATTAGAGAGATTGGTGATCTTGCAGAATCATGAGTCAGTTCACACAAACCAAGAGGGACTGCCATAAGACACTGGAGAGCTGCCTTAGCTTTCACTGAGTTCTCTTTCCTAACCATTTCAGAGTAAGCCAATCATATTTAGACCAAACTGTATTAGGACCTCAGATTTCATTGTTAAACCAGATAAATTTTCACAACCATTCAATAGTTTCATGGTCACCATTACTGAGACTAATGTTTTGTTCCAATGAACTGAATTTAAATACCGCCTTATGATAGCAGTATCTGAAACTCCTTCCAATTGGTCCTTAGACCCAAGCCTCTGGATTGCTAGGTTTATCCGAACAACTGTTATCAACTGTCCAAACCCACTCAGTCAGGGTGCAAAAAAAAATTTGATCACCTTCGAAATCCATGTAAATTGATTAGTCTAGGGGATAGAACCCAATGTTACTTGTTTTTTGGTGAGAAAGGAGTGTTTTGTCTAAGTTGCCTGATTTTGAAATTGGATTCTAGTGTTAAATGGAAAGTGATCCCACCCTTCCATTCACATTTTATATAAAAATATCATGCCTGATACATAATCTATTTTTAGCAGGACTGAGTTCTGGACTTGCAAGGTTTCTGTTACCAGTGCAGTTCAGTCCTGTGTCAGCTCTGTACCGACACATTTCTGAATACCACAGGGAAGTCATTGTCAGTAACCTGCTAGTGATCTAACCACAGGCACCTTCCCCCATCTTTCTGCTTGCCAATCCATGTGAAGAATTGCAACCCAAACTGGCAGGACCAGGAGATTTGCCCAATACTATATCTGGACATACTATTCCTCCCCTGTACTCCACAACCTGACTGAGATTGAGAACTCAAGATTACAGAGGATCACAGGAGAGTGGAATGCATCCTGCTTGGTTTAGCTCAGATGGCTGGTTTGCAATGCACAGCTAACACTAACAGTGCGGGTTAAATTCCTGCACTGGCTGAGATTACCCTGAAGGAGTACAACCCAATGGCCTCAATGTGGAGTTTACTAGCTTCAAAATCTCCCCATCCCCGACCTCATCCCAAGACCAGCACCCCCCTCTCATCCCCGCCTCCTTAACCTGTCCATCTTCTCTCCCACCTATCCACTCTTCCCACCTCACTGACCAACCCCCATCCCAACTCCCTACCTACACTCACCTTTACTAGCTTCACCCCCGCCTCCTCGACCTGTCCGTCTTCTCTCCCACCTATCCACTCCACTATCCACCTTCTCTCACTGCCCCCGCCCTCTATTTATTTCAGAGCCCCCTTCCCCTCCCCCATTTCTGAAGAAGGGTCCAGACCCGAAACATCAGCTTTCCTGCTCCTCTGATGCTGCCTGGCCTGCTGTGTTCATCCAGTCCCACACCTTATTAACCCTGAAGGGGTGTCTGCTCACCTGCGATGTGGTGACCATCAGGTTAAACCACCACCAGTTGTAAGTTTCTAATAAGAGAGTAACCTTAAGGTCGAGTAAGGCTATGGCAACTTTACCTTTAGCTTGCAGGCACTAAGCTATGATATTTTAACCTTGAAAGCACTAGCAAACTATATAGAGTGTATTTAATTGATAAGTTAGAGTTAATTCATAATCTTTGTTATTTATGAAACACCAAATTGTCTCAAAGGGGCCATGTTGTTAAACTTCTTAAAATTTGTTTTTCAAATGGTTGGGTCCCATGAGAGGATGCTGTAACTTTAACTGCTCCAGTATTGTTGACAATGGAATTCCCTCCCTGAACCTGCTCCTCGACTGTAAGAAATTCCTTCAAACCTATCAATATGACCAAACCTTTGGCCGCACCGTCTACCCTAATATCTGCCCTTGTGTTTAGTTTTGCTTATTAATGCTCCAATGATGCACCTGTGGATGTTGTATTTTGTTGAAGGTGCTTTAGAAATACAAATAACTTTTTGATATTCGTTCATGGGATGTGGGTGTCATTGACTGGGCCCAGCATTTATTACCTGACCTAATTGCCCAGAGGGGAGTTAAGAATCAACCACATTGCTGGGGGTCTGGAGCCAGACCAGGTAAGGACGGCAGATTTCCTTCCTTAAAGAACATTAGTGAAGGGGAGGGGATTTTGCAACAATGGAAGATATAATGAGGGGAAGCTGTGGTGTAGTGGCAATGTCACTAGATTAGTAATTCGAACACCCAGGCTAATGCTGTGCTGACACCCTCCTACAATGGCAAATGATGAAATGTGAGCCCATTTAATAAAGTCTGGAATTAAAAACTAGTCAAATGGTGACCAATGATTTTTTAAAAAAAAATCTGATTCACTAAATTACTTTTAGAGAAGGAAAATCTACCATCCTCTCCTGATTTATATGTGACTCCAGATGTGATTGACTCTTAACTGCCCTCTGAAACTGCACTGGCAAGCACACAATTCAGGACAATTAGGAATGGGCAATAAATGCTGGCCTGACCAGTGATGCCCTAATGCTAAAAGAAAGGAAAAAAATATAAAATACATATTTCTCTCAGTTCCTTCATTTGTAAAGGTAATATGCAATGAAGCGTTACAAGTTGGCAATAAATTGAAGCTACTGTAACAATGCTTGGAAGGAGTGAGCAAACGAAATCTGACAATGTTTTATAAGGTCATTATAGAGCTGAAAGAGTGAGGTAATGTCGCCACTTTATAAGTCATGGATGTAACTGCACTTAAAATAATGTACATAGTTCTCTTTGCCACTGTACTAAAATGGATAATG